GCTTAAGTCTCTACAACTCTGCCAAAGTCTCTACAACACTGCTTAAGTCTCTACAACTCTGCCAAAGTCTCTACAACACTGCTTAAGTCTCTACAACTCTGCCAAAGTCTCTACAACTCTGCTTAAGTCTCTACAACTCTGCCTAAGTCTCTACAACTCTGCCTAAGTCTCTACAACTCTGCCTAAGTCTCTACAACTCTGCTTTGGTCTCTACAAACTCTGCCAAAGTCTCTACAACTCTGCCAAAGTCTGATTGTCACAGAGAAGGACGGCGCTTATACAGGCCTTAGATGCTTCTGTAAACACATAGACTTTGGAAACATGACTCAGCAGAATGAACCTTATGGCTTCAATGTAAGGAACACGTCGGCCTAGACCAGCATGAACATATGGCTTATTCACAGACCACAGTCCACTGTATGAGAGACTATATCTATGCACTGTACTTGGATGCCTCTGTAAGCAGTTTTAAAGTACACGTGTTAGCATATTTGAAGCTCCATGAAACAGTGTCTATATTAATTAGCATCAATATCCATCCATCCATCCATCCATTTTCTACCCTTTAATCCATTTCTGGGTCAGGGGGGTGGCAGTCAGAGATGCCACCCAAGTCTCATAGCACCAGCCCCTCACTGACCCTCTGCAGGTGGTGAGTCCACAGGAGGACGGCTGCTCTCTGAGTGTGAGCATAGCCTTGATCTTTCAGTGGGGGCTTTGGGCAAAGTGGGGTTAAGTGTCTTGCCCAAGGACACAACGACAGCAGTCATCAGTGGGAGTCGGTGGAGAAGGTGTCGAGGTGGGAATTGAACCCACAACCTTCAGGCCTGAAGGCCAATGCTCTACCAACTGAGCTACTGTCGCCCCAAATTAGCATCAATACTATTCAGATATTCACACAGGTTTGAAATAAAATGACCTCAGTGTATTAGAGCAGCTCCTTCATCTGAGGTTTTTAAATCTAGTCTAACATTTGTGATTAGGTTTTTAACACTGAGTTTTACTGTTTTATATTTGACATGTATTTGTGTGTATTTTTTGCTGTTTGTTGTGTGCCTGTGAAGCACTTTGAGCAGCTGGTGTTGAAGAGAATGTAAATAGAACACATTATGACAAAGGCTTGAAACGTGTCACTTTGTGTGAGTCTGTCATACAGTAGTTTCACATTGTGAGTTTTTGACAGATATTCTGATGTTTTCACCTGTAGATTATCAGCACAGAGCAGGTACATGTCTCATTTATAATATAACCATGTTAACCTTGTTATGGCCAAAGTTAGAATTATCCAAACGAGTGTCTTTGTGTGGTTGAGTGGTTAGCACTATCGCCTCTCAGCAAGAAGGTCCTGGGTTTGAATCCCGGTCAGAACAGGGCCTTTCTGAGTAGAGTTTGCATGTTCTCCCCGTGTCTACTCCGGTTTCCCCTACCACTAAAAACATGTCCAATAGGTCTGTGCCTCCTGTACTGGCCCCTCTCGTGGAGTCAGAGACAAATGCCCAAAAAATAACAATTGTAAACCGCTTTGTGGTTCTGGTCTGTGAAAGGCGCTATATAAATAAACATTACTTACTACTTACATGATAATTGCATAACGTGAATCCAAATTGTGCAGAAGAGAACAAATTTCATTCCACTTCACGATTGTGTCCCACTTGTTGTTGATTCATGACAAAAAATTAAAATGTTATATCTTTATGTTTGAAGCCTGAAATGTGGCGAAATACTTTCGCAAGGCACTGTATCTAATGTATGAGCCTCCTCCACACTCCTGGTTTCTCATCAGTGGAACGACACCAGTGTCTCTGTTTGAGTTTCTACCATTTCTTATGTTATCCATCCATTCATTTTCTTCCGCTTCATCCGTTGCCGGGTCGCGGGGGCAGCAGTCTAAGCAGAGACACCCAGACTTCCCTATCCGCACACACTTCCTCCTTCCTCTTATGTTATTAATATTATTAATAGTAATTTTCCACTACAACCTGCATCCACAAAAAAAAAAGATTATAACGGCTTATTAACCGAGCGCGAGGTCTGTATGGAGAATTATTATGACTTGGATCGTACGCGCGCTCTGATTGGTTGATTTGCGGTCTGATATTTCCCCATCTCGGACCGTTACCATGACAATCGGTCCACAGCCCGTATCACACAAAACCAAGTCGGACATAAACATACTTCACAAATATCTCAAAAGCATTGGACACAGACGAGAGTCATATAATAAAACATTTATTAACCTTGCTTGCTCGGTTATGAAGCCATTAATATCAGACCACGATGGGAGATTATCAGACTGGTAATCAGTCCAAGTCATAGAATAATACGGTGAAGCGTCCAGTTGAGTGTGCAGTTGAAGCCAGAACTGATGGTTAAAATGAAGTTTATTTTGTCCTTCCATATATTCATAAAACCAACGTAAGAGCTAGAAATGAAAAATCACCTCACAATGACGTCCAATTCCTTTTTAGCATCAGTGACATTGTTAACCGTTACATTACAATTGCTATTATTTACACATTTAAAACAAACTTCACAATTGTCACAAATCAAATCAATCCGTACCTCGTTCCCTCGACCTCCACTGTGGCTTTGTTGTCTCTTTTATGCCACATTAGTGCTGTTTCCTACGACCGTTTGTCTGGGCCATGGTCTGTGACGTCCATACACCGTGTAACGTTTCTCCGTCTGATGCGCCGTTGAAACAGCGTCAAAATAAAACATTTTTCTCTTGACATCAACCTGTACATATGGATTTATGTTGCTTTATGTTCGGATTGGCGTGTCGTGACATCACAATAACATATAGACTCAGATTCTTTTGCCATTTGCAGTAAAACCACATTGGAATACATGTGCGAAAGAGCCAAGCGTACCCAGTGTGCACCAGACAAGTACATAAATAAAACTAAAGTACAGGAATAAAGCTAAAATTACAAACAATTCACTGAGAATCGATCAACAGCGACAAAAGTGAAGCAGAATCTCAGAGTTTGAGGTGAATTCTCTACGTTTCTACAGAAGAAGACGACACAGACGAGCTTTCTAAATAACCTGATCAGTGTTTTTGTCCTAAACCAGGTCCTGAGACAGAGTTAGACCCAGACCCTCCTCTACAGCCAGATGGGGCACTATAGTGACTTTAAAGGCCTGTGAACATATTTATTTCTCTCCTGCTGCCTTTGTTGTTAGAGGCTCGACTCAGCAGAGCGCACACATTATGAGCCATCTGTTTCCAGGTCAGGAAAACATATGGATTATTGTTGTTGCTACAAGTGGTGCTTCTGTCGGAGAAACAGACCTGTACGAGGCAAACACAAACACACCTGGAGAGGATCTCACTCTGTCATCTAAAAGGAAACATCAGATCAGGAGTAGTGCGTGTTTGGGGCTGTGCTTGCCTTCAAAAGCTGGATCCCTACAGACCTCTGAAGCTAAGCAAGGGCAGAGCCTGGTTAGTACTGTGATGGGAGACCTCTGGGAATAACAGGTGCCACAGTGGGGCGGCTGTGGCTTAGGCAAGACCCACATTAGAATGAGTCTGGTGTGTGTGTGAACGGTTGGTGGTGAAGGGAGGGGCCGATGGGACAGACCGGTGGCCTCACTTCTGTCATTAAGATTTTTCTTGAGTCTGTTACAACATTGTTTAGACCATAGCGTGCTTCTTTTTATTTATTATTTATTTGGTTGGGACAGTACATGTTCATGAACACATCAGTCCGGATTGTAGCGTTGGGCTAATTTGTATCCGTTGTCCCACATTCACAAACACACACTCATTCAGCGAACAGTGAAAATATTAACGGACGTTGTCACGCCTATCTCCGCTGTTCAAACTAATGTGCCACCACTTTTGCCTTCTATGGGGCTTTTCAAAATGGCCGCGGGGGCTGGAAAACTAACTAAACTAACTGACTAAACTAGACTGGTCCAGAACACTCAGCATTGACACACATGTGGAACGGAGCTTTGGGCCAAGAGACAACTTTTGGACCATCCTGTAAAGACGTTTTCCAGAGGTCTGCTAATGCTATATGTTAGCATTGGCTAATTCTTATTCCGGGTCCACCCCCACAGGCCCGGGGTGGTACTGCAGCATGTCAGCGCACGTCATTTTGGACACTTTTGAGACGGGACCCGCCCACACTGGTTTAGACCTGTTGTTTTAGCTCCATCCATGTTGATATCAGGAACTTCTGGCACAAACATGTAACTCCGCCCCGCCTATCTAAATCAGTGGTCTTCAACACACGGCCCACAGGCCATTTGCGGCCTGTAAAAAGGTATTCTGTGGCCCCTGAGTGGACATCAAACTTTAATGTCAGTGCGGCCCTAACTGAGAGTCTGTGGAACCTTCTCCTTCGCACATCGAGGGTGTAGTGGCGATGTGTTGCTTCCTTCCAAAGGACATTAGAAAAGAGCAGCTGCAGTCGCCGCGCACACAGACCGCAGTGACGGACGGCTGAATGTGACCCTGATGGCCTTCGCTCTGTAGATGGAGCCACAGCAGCAAACACCAGATTCTTAGTTTAGTTCTGGGTTTAGTCCAAGCTACAGTTTGTGGAAATGTGTGTATTTCTCCATAAACAATGGCTTTATTTAAAGATTTATTATTTACTTTCAAAACCGATGTTATCCCATAAAAAAACACATATGGAACAAGACAACTGTGAAATGAGAAGTATCTAGTGCAGTAGTTTATATCTTTATTACAGAACAAAGGTAATCAGATGGACAGTTGTCTTTTTGCGGAGGCAGCAGAAACGCACAATATCAACACACACTTCCTCCAGCTCACACAGGAGTCGTGTTCCCAGGCCAGCTGAGAGACACAGCCCTCCAGCCGGGGTCGTCCCTGTAGCCTCCTCCTGGTGGGACATGGTGGAGGAGCAGTGACTCAACTCTGAGCTCCTCCGGTGTGTCCTACCTCCACTTTATACCTAACGCTGCAGACCTTTCTGTTGGAGCAGAGGTTTGTGTAGCGGCTCGTAGGGGTCGCGGGGATGAGCCGAGTCTACTGTTCCAGCGTGAGACTTTCCATCCAAATGTAGAGGAAATATGCTTGTGTTACTAGTTTTTGGTGAGTGGATCAGCGCCAGATTCACAGAACACTTCTATTTTACTTTTGAATCCTAAGTAGCTCTGAATCAGTCGATGTTTTGTGTTTTACAACCGTTATTTGTGTTGCTTGTTTCTAGCTGTAAATGTTACTGCAGTGTTCATACTGTAGTTTTACACTGGTCCCAACCAAACAGATCAAGCTGAAATCCACTGGAGGAATGCTGCATGTATATAATGTGTAGACCAGTGTGAGAGTGAGTGTGAGAGTGAGAGAGAGAGAATAAAGTGGAAATACTAGTTTTAAAATAGATTATTATGTGTATTTTCATTACTTACTGTTTGTATGTGTGCGTTGTCCACTGTCCAAAGGGTGGGGTCATATGCAGCCATTTCTTTAGACACTTTTGGGGCTTTTCATATAAAGACAGTGTTTACAGTTTCCTTTCATACAAATACTAATACTACTATTACTTGTCCTACTCCCACTACTACTATTGATACTACTTAACATTTGTCTACTTCACACTAAACATATGTCTGCAATGGAAAGGGAATGAAATGGAATGAGAATTGTTGCTAATTGAATCATAGACATAGATCCACATCTGTCAAACCAACCTCAGATCTTTCCAACCTGTTTGAGTCGTGTCTTTTAGCTGCAGTTTCCTTTCGTTACATCATCTTAAATTAAAATTATTCTCATGCCGAGCCGGAGATAAGAATGGCCTTTATTTTTATATTTCTTTCAGTTCGCTGGAGGATTGTCTCCCTTTTTGATTCTGATCTCATTTCATCCTCTCACAGCCAGAAGGAGAGCTTCTAATCCAGGTTCAAGACTGAAACAGGGGTGGAGGACTGGCGCCACCTGGTGGTCAGAGTGTGCACTGACTCTGGCTCTGTCCTGTTCCAATGCAGCAAAAATGATCACATTATTTATGATTAAGAATAAGGTAACTATTGAGAAACATTAAACCAAGCTTAATGTCAAGGCCTGGATTCAAGCACTTTGAGAATGACTTTATATTGTGAGTATATAGGCTACCGAGTACACAGTATATATTATAGTATATATTTTTACATTTTCTTCTGGTGATGTGCCGCGAGATTTTTTCAATGAAAAAAGTGTGTCTTGGCTCAAAAAAGGTTGAAAAACACTGATCTATCCAGTGCAGCAGAAATACTTGAATATTGAATAATCACAGTAGCTTCACATCTTCACTTTAAAGATATAGATTAAAAGACAAAGGCTTTAATGAACTGGACAGAAAGTTTGTTAATATTATATAGAATATCACATTCTGTAAGTCATCACATCTCTTTTTTTCAGCACGTATTCCAGATGAAGTGGTGCAGCGCTACAGAAGGTTCTCGAGGCCTAAAGGGAGATCTCCGTCTGCCTCATGTGCAACACGATGGTTTACAACACACCTGTGGCAGAGTTGGCCGTCGCTGCGCCACAAAAATATGAAGAGATTTTACCAAAAAACTGACACAAAGGAATCTACGGCAATTCTGCCATCAAAAATGAAACTAAAGAATTAAAAAAATCTGGCCAGCTTCTTCCCATTGGGAAGACCAACGATTGAAGTTTTTTTGTAAGGTGCCACAATTCAGTAGTATTTTTGTTAAGAAGTTTTCAGATTACAGTTTGTTGAATTCTGTCAAAAATAGACTTGGAGAAGTATTACCGTTTATTTACTGTTTTGCCAAAGCCAGATGTATCAGAGCAGGTCTGAGTGTGTTCATCAGGGCTCCTTGAACCACGTTTAAATCTGTAATTGTTGCTGTTTAAATAAATTAAAACATGTAGAGTATTGAATATGGTTAGTGTGTGACAGTGTGGCATGTTGGCTGAGGGGGTTGCACCATTGCTCCTCAGTGCAAAGATTCTGAGTTCAAGTCCCAGTTGGAGCAGTTATATGTACAAGTTGATATCACAGTTTCACTTTATTGCATTCAATTGAGTTCACTTGGCAACATCAAGTTAAGGATGTCCCAGCAGGTCTGCAGAGAGAACACAGCGACAGGAGTGTTCTGCAGTCGTGCCTCTAGATGGCGCTGCAGTGGTTTGCTCCACAGTCTGTGGGCTGAGCCTGTCAGACCAGAGACCCCAAAGACCCCAGAGGTCCCAGAGCACACCTCTGCTACAGCTCCTCTGCTCTCACTGAGGATCAACCACCGCTCTATCTGAAGAGGTGAGACACACCATTGGACAGTATATATATATATATATATATATATATATGCAAATAGAAGTGTGTATAGTTTACAACTGTTTTCAGATATTGTCTTCAAAGAGATAAATGTTACAGGAGTTTGCAGTTTAATATTCCAAAGATATTTTTAAAGGTGTATTCCTCGGCCTTTTCTGTGAGCTATTATTTTATCTACGAACCTAATTTACAATGAAGTTCATTCATAGTTTATCACATATTGTCTTTGATCTGACAATGTAACCCATGGCAACCATACAGTAAGTGTCAAAAAAGAGCTAAAAAGGATAAATACAAATGCATTTGGTTTCATATTCATCTCATTAGAACACACTTAAGGTTTATTGTTATTTTTATTTATTTTAATCTGTTATTTTTAAATTGTGATTGATTGTTTAGCTTGTTTTATTCTAGCAGTTCTTAGCTTGTGTTTCTGTGTACTTCGGTGCACACTGGGGACTTTTGCACATGTATTCCACTGTGGTTTTACTGCAAATGGTAAAAATCAAATGAAATGAATTTAAAAAAAGACTTTTACACTATTAGGCCTAAGTCTGGAGTCTAATGTGGAGCTGGTTTTCTTCTTGGATCCAGGTCCATTTACAGTAAACGCAGGAGACTTTTAAAGGATTGTGAAACAGGAGTAACGTGTTGCAGATGTGAGGAGGCGTCTTGGCTTTTTCTTCCTCCAATGGGCTTCGACTGTTCCTCAAATTTATAGTTAACAGTAAAAACGGGTTGTACTACTTTATGATGACATTAGACACATTTATTAAGTATAAATAATTTGTTTCCATTTGAGCAAAATTGCCTGAATTACAATAAAACATGTCAGGTAAGCAGGACTAGCTTTCTTTACTGGTTTGTCTCATTAAAAGAACCTTCTAAGTCTTATACAATAAAGCTATAGAGTGAAGATAAAATCCCTCAGTTAGCTAAAGCTAAAGCTAAAGCTAAAGCTAAACACGACTGTTCTAACCTGGATTTGAACATTGTCAGAGAAGAAGCCTCTGACAAATCTGTGAAAAACCATAAAGGCCCCGTCCACACGTAGCCGAGTATTAAGTAGTAACCTCAGATGTTTGTCTTGTTTGGACCTGTCATCCACATTACTGCAATGCCCACCTCGTCAGGACCAACGCCAAAAGTCTGCAAAAAGTCCAGCACATCCAGAACTGTGCTGCCCGGGTCCTGACGAGGCACAAATATGACCACATCACACCTGTCCTCAAATCCCTCCACAGCTGCCCATCAAACACAGAATACAGCACAGAATACAGCACAGAATACAGTACAAACTCTGCCTCCTCACATATGCACACCCGGAACTGCCCCTGCCTCAGCCACCTCCTAACACCACCTCTCCTCCACCTCCTCTCACTGCACCAACCCAGGACCAGACTCTCCTCCACCTCCTCCCACTGCACCAACCCAGGACCAGACTCTCCTCCACCTCCTCCCACTGCACCCACCCAGGACCAGACTCTCCTCCACCTCCTCCCACTGCACCAACCCAGGACCAGACTCTCCTCCACCTCCTCCCACTGCACCCACCCAGGACCAGACTCTCCTCCACCTCCTCTCACTGCACCAACCCAGGACCAGACTCTCCTCCACCTCCTCCCACTGCACCAACCCAGGACCAGACTCTCCTCCACCTCCTCCCACTGCACCAACCCAGGACCAGACTCTCCTCCACCTCCTCTCACTGCACCACCCCAGGACCAGACTCTCCTCCACCTCCTCTCACTGCACCAACCCAGGACCAGACTCTCCTCCACCTCCTCTCACTGCACCAACCCAGGACCAGACTCTCCTCCACCTCCTCTCACTGCACCAACCCAGGACCAGACTCTCCTCCACCTCCTCTCACTGCACCAACCCAGGACCAGACTCTCCTCCACCTCCTCTCACTGCACCAACCCAGGACCAGACTCTCCTCCACCTCCTCTCACTGCACCAACCCAGGACCAGACTCTCCTCCACCTCCTCTCACTGCACCAACCCAGGACCAGACTCTCCTCCACCTCCTCTCACTGCACCAACCCAGGACCAGACTCTCCTCCACCTCCTCTCACTGCACCAACCCAGGACCAGACTCTCCTCCACCTCCTCTCACTGCACCAACCCAGGACCAGACTCTCCTCCACCTCCTCTCACTGCACCAACCCAGGACCAGACTCTCCTCCACCTCCTCTCACTGCACCAACCCAGGACCAGACTCTCCTCCACCTCCTCTCACTGCACCAACCCAGGACCAGACTCTCCTCCACCTCCTCTCACTGCACCAACCCAGGACCAGACTCTCCTCCACCTCCTCTCACTGCACCAACCCAGGACCAGACTCTCCTCCACCTCCTCTCACTGCACCAACCCAGGACCAGACTCTCCTCCACCTCCTCTCACTGCACCAACCCAGGACCAGACTCTCCTCCACCTCCTCTCACTGCACCAACCCAGGACCAGACTCTCCTCCACCTCCTCTCACTGCACCAACCCAGGACCAGACTCTCCTCCACCTCCTCTCACTGCACCAACCCAGGACCAGACTCTCCTCCACCTCCTCTCACTGCACCAACCCAGGACCAGACTCTCCTCCACCTCCTCTCACTGCACCAACCCAGGACCAGACTCTCCTCCACCTCCTCTCACTGCACCAACCCAGGACCAGACTCTCCTCCACCTCCTCTCACTGCACCAACCCAGGACCAGACTCTCCTCCACCTCCTCTCACTGCACCAACCCAGGACCAGACTCTCCTCCACCTCCTCTCACTGCACCAACCCAGGACCAGACTCTCCTCCACCTCCTCTCACTGCACCAACCCAGGACCAGACTCTCCTCCACCTCCTCTCACTGCACCAACCCAGGACCAGACTCTCCTCCACCTCCTCTCACTGCACCAACCCAGGACCAGACTCTCCTCCACCTCCTCTCACTGCACCAACCCAGGACCAGACTCTCCTCCACCTCCTCTCACTGCACCAACCCAGGACCAGACTCTCCTCCACCTCCTCTCACTGCACCAACCCAGGACCAGACTCTCCTCCACCTCCTCTCACTGCACCAACCCAGGACCAGACTCTCCTCCACCTCCTCTCACTGCACCAACCCAGGACCAGACTCTCCTCCACCTCCTCTCACTGCACCAACCCAGGACCAGACTCTCCTCCACCTCCTCTCACTGCACCAACCCAGGACCAGACTCTCCTCCACCTCCTCTCACTGCACCAACCCAGGACCAGACTCTCCTCCACCTCCTCTCACTGCACCAACCCAGGACCAGACTCTCCTCCACCTCCTCTCACTGCACCAACCCAGGACCAGACTCTCCTCCACCTCCTCTCACTGCACCAACCCAGGACCAGACTCTCCTCCACCTCCTCTCACTGCACCAACCCAGGACCAGACTCTCCTCCACCTCCTCTCACTGCACCAACCCAGGACCAGACTCTCCTCCACCTCCTCTCACTGCACCAACCCAGGACCAGACTCTCCTCCACCTCCTCTCACTGCACCAACCCAGGACCAGACTCTCCTCCACCTCCTCTCACTGCACCAACCCAGGACCAGACTCTCCTCCACCTCCTCTCACTGCACCAACCCAGGACCAGACTCTCCTCACCTCTCCTCTCACTGCACCAACCCAGGACCAGACTCTCCTCCACCTCCTCTCACTGCACCAACCCAGGACCAGACTCTCCTCCACCTCCTCTCACTGCACCAACCCAGGACCAGACTCTCCTCCACCTCCTCTCACTGCACCAACCCAGGACCAGACTCTCCTCCACCTCCTCTCACTGCACCAACCCAGGACCAGACTCTCCTCCACCTCCTCTCACTGCACCAACCCAGGACCAGACTCTCCTCCACCTCCTCTCACTGCACCAACCCAGGACCAGACTCTCCTCCACCTCCTCTCACTGCACCAACCCAGGACCAGACTCTCCTCCACCTCCTCTCACTGCACCAACCCAGGACCAGACTCTCCTCCACCTCCTCTCACTGCACCAACCCAGGACCAGACTCTCCTCCACCTCCTCTCACTGCACCAACCCAGGACCAGACTCTCCTCCACCTCCTCTCACTGCACCAACCCAGGACCAGACTCTCCTCCACCACTCCTCACTGCACCAACCCAGGACCAGACTCTCCTCCACCTCCTCTCACTGCACCAACCCAGGACCAGACTCTCCTCCACCTCCTCTCACTGCACCAACCCAGGACCAGACTCTCCTCCACCTCCTCTCACTGCACCAACCCAGGACCAGACTCTCCTCCACCTCCTCTCACTGCACCAACCCAGGACCAGACTCTCCTCCACCTCCTCTCACTGCACCAACCCAGGACCAGACTCTCCTCCACCTCCTCCACTGCACCAACCCAGGACCAGACTCTCCTCCACCTCCTCCCACTGCACCAACCCAGGACCAGACTCTCCTCCACCTCCTCTCACTGCACCACCCAGGACCAAACTCTCCTCCACCTCCTCTCACTGCACCAACCCAGGACCAGACTCTCCTCCACCTCCTCTCACTGCACCAACCCAGGACCAGACTCTCCTCCACCTCCTCCCACTGCACCAACCCAGGACCAGACTCTCCTCCACCTCCTCCCACTGCACCAACCCAGGACCAGACTCTCCTCCACCTCCTCTCACTGCACCAACCCAGGACCAGACTCTCCTCCACCTCCTCTCACTGCACCAACCCAGGACCAGACTCTCCTCCACCTCCTCTCACTGCACCAACCCAGGACCAGACTCTCCTCCACCTCCTCTCACTGCACCAACCCAGGACCAGACTCTCCTCCACCTCCTCTCACTGCACCAACCCAGGACCAGACTCTCCTCCACCTCCTCCCACTGCACCAACCCAGGACCAGACTCTCCTCCACCTCCTCTCACTGCACCAACCCAGGACCAGACTCTCCTCCACCTCCTCCCACTGCACCAACCCAGGACCAGACTCTCCTCCACCTCCTCTCACTGCACCAACCCAGGACCAGACTCTGGACCCTGGGAGACAGGGCCTTTCAGGCAGTAGCCCCCTCCCAGAGACCCTCAGGGCCCCACAAAGTGTGGAGGCTTTCAAGAAAGGCCTTAAGACATGTTTATTCAAACAGGCCTTCTAGAAGTGTAGTTATGTTTTTATGTGTTCATGATGGTGTTTATGATGTATTGTAAATGTGTAATTTTTTATGTTGTGTATCTTGGATGTTCCCTGTTCTGTAGCACTCAGATTTCATTGAAATGTGAAGTGCATTATGAATAAAATGTATTATTTTTACATGACAACGCATAATAATCAAATATATTAAAAAAACTAAGCGAAGTGAAGATTTTTGAAAACTGTTTATGCATCTCCGTGTAGACAGATAACCAGCACGTCACAATATGCTCCAAAACAACAACGAATCTGCTTTGACGTCAAACGTGTGACCCCTGATCCCTGTACAAGGATCTAACTGCCGTTAAAACTGTGGTTCCACCGGATCATGCTGCGGCGCAGCAGCGATGGGTCGGGCCAGCTGTGGGGGCGTTTCCGTCGGACTACAAACACGCCTTAGTGGGGGTTACAGTAAAGTTTCAACAACCAATCACCAATCAGTATCAAAATACGCTTTCAAAATAAACCAGCAGCACGGAATCTTGGTTGAACCGCACGTGAAGGCTTAAAGGGCCTTTGTAACTGGAGCACAAGGGTTACGGGAAGTTTGTGATTAGTGATGTACAGTTTCCTTAAAGAGGGACTAATTAATGCAACCGTCTTGTTTTCACACTTAAATGTTGTACTGAATAATATCAAATTGATAGTTAAAATATAATACAGTGGACCACTGTGCACCTGTACAGACGGTAGCTCACGAGTACCACCAGGAGGGAACATTTCTCGCCCTAAATGTAAAACCCATATCTTTATTTTAACAGAACTGTCTATCATAAAGAACAGCATTGACGTCGTTCTTATTTTGAATATCTTATTTTGAAATACCGAATGAGATCGGATGTGTTCAGCAGCGAATTAAGAAGGACGAGGCGTTTCTGGATTTGAGGAGGGTGTTCCTGTTAAACACATGGACGCCCCTTTTAGCTGCTGGCCAGATTATATTGTCCACATCAGAGAGCAGCAAAGTGATCACAGGGACTCACGCTCCAAACCAGGAGCTAAACCAAGACTAAACCAGGAGCTAAACCAGGACTAAACCAGGCCTGAGGACGGGTACCCTGGCCTTATCCATCCGTACACTCCGCTCGATCATCATTTCACTGCATGTAACGTCTGGGTCTGGTCCCTGTGTTAGCGATTACAATCGGTTGAATTTTGACCGACCAATCAGAGAGCGCGGAAGGCAGGTCGGTGACGTCAAGAGTTTGCGCCGAACGGGCAGCTTGTAGTTTCGCAATGGCAAAAAATACTATAGTAAAGTAATCCGGTCTGGTTCTATCAAGAAACTGAAGCCGGAGCAAGAGGAATGTTTAGCAAAAGTAATCACTACTCCCCACGGGCTCCGTTAGCGGCAAAGGAGCTGGACAGGCTAAATGCTAAATGCTAACGACTCACTGGGGAGCATTACATACGTCACAGTAAACTCAGATCCAATGGTTTCAATCTGCAAACGGAGTTAGTCCCTCCCACCTGTTACGGAGTCAATGGAGACAATCCAGACCTTAGTATGAAATGAAATTTGTACTATGGTGTGGTACGGCCAGGCTAAAGGACGGGGGTCAGTGCTTGTAAACATATGTCCAGCCTAAGTTTCTACTGTGACTGTAAATAAATGCTACTACAGAAGTACCGGCGAGCGAGTTCTACTCACTCATAGATCTACTCTCTCAAAAGAAATGATGATTTCTGAGGAATGATTGCTATTAGATATAATCAACGTTCCAAATACTGTCTGTGCCTCGGAACTGTTTCCCACAACACTGACCTGAACAGCTGCAAGGTGCGCAGGTTAACCTGGAGCTGAGGTGGGACTGTGGTGTTTCCATTCAATAAACACGTTCACAACAGCGATGTACAAACACATGACCAGCGCCTGCTCTCACAGAATCAGAATCAGAATCAGAATCATTTTTATTGCCAACGTAAGTAACGGGAGGTCACAGACTTGGAAATTGCTTTGGCTCAGTGCAACAGTCAAAAAGAGATAATAAAAATAAGAATAAAAAACACTTCTAAAGAATAAATTTAAATTTAAAATAGAGTTACAGTTACTATTTACAATATACAAGTGCACATGGTGCACACAATGTAAGGTGACAGCAGTACAGTGAAGTAAAGTGACGTATGATGGGCAGTAAAGTGACTTTATAAAGGGCGGGGGGACAGGTTAAGAAGTGTTCAAGAGTCCAACAGCAGAGGGGAAGAAACTGTTCTTGTGGCGGGAGGTTCTAGTCCTGATGGACCGCAGCCTCCTGCCTGAGGGGAGTGGTTGGAATAGTCCATGTGCAGGGTGAGAGGGGTCGGCTGTGATACGACCAGCCCGGCCTCGAGCTCGGGCGATTGTTGTTGCCACTGCACCAGGACACCAGCCGGTCCACCTCCCTCCTGTAGGCGGACTCATCGTTGTTGGAGATGAGTCCAATGAGGGTGGTGTCGTCCGCGAACTTGATCAGCTTCACGGAGTCGTGGCTGGAGGTGCAGTGGTTGGTGTACAGGGAGAAGAGCAGGGGAGAAAGAACACAGCCCTGTGGGGCTCCTGTATTTATAATCCGAGAGTCCGAGACATTCTTCCCCAGACGCACTCGCTGCTTCCTGTCCGTCAGGAAGTCAGTGATCCACCTGCAGGTGGAATCGGGCACGTTGAGCTGGGAGAGCTTGTCCTGGAGCAGGGATGGCAGGATTGTGTTGAAGGCAGAGCTGAAGTCCACGAACAGGACCCTGGCGTAGGTCCCCGGGGAGTCCAGGTGCTGTAGGATGTGGTGGAGGGCCAGGTTAATGGCGTCGTCTACAGATCTGTTGGCTCTGTAGGCGAACTGCAGGGGGTCCAGGAGGGGGGAGGTGAGGGACTTGAGATGGGAGAGAACCAGGCGTTCAAATGACTTCATGACGACAGACGTAAGTGCTACAGGTCTGTAGTCATTGAGTCCTGTGATCCTGGGCTTCTTCGGGACGGGGACAATGATGGAGGATTTGAAGCAGGCCGGGACATGGCAGGACTGCAGAGAGGTGTTGAAAATGTCAGTGAACACAGGAGTAAGCTCACTGGCGCAGTGTCTCAGAGTGGCCGGAGACACGTGGTCCGGGCCAGGAGCTTTGCGGGGGTGCAGCCTCAGGAAGAGTTGTTTAATCTCTTTAGCGGCTATTGTTAGGCTGGGGGCAGGGCTGATGGGTGGGTCGTTAGAGTAGTGGGGGAGGGAGAGGTGTCAGGGGCAGCATCAAAGCGACTGAAAAATAAGTTCAGATCGTCAGCTAGCTTGTGGTCATCAGCACAGGGGGGGGCTTTGGGTTTGTAGTTGGTGATCTCCCGTAGGCCCCTCCAGACAGAAGCAGTATCGTTGTTACCAAACTGCTCCTGTAGTCGTTCTCTGTGCCGGGACTTGGCTGCTTTCAGTTCTTTCCTGAACTGATATTTAGCTGCTTTGTAGCCGCTGCGGTCCCCCTCCCTGAAAGCAGAGTCCTTTGCTTTCCTGAGCTGCCGGAGTTTAGCAGTGAACCAGGGTTTGTCGTTGTTATAGATGACCCTGGTCCTTGTTGGAATGATGCTATCCTCACAGAAGTGAATGTATGACGTCACAGTGTCCGTATATTCATCCAAGCTGTCTGTGGCAGCTCTGAAAAGGTCCCGTCTGTAGATTCCATGCATGCAGCTCTTCCACAGCTTCATCAGACCACACTTTGGAGCTCCTCACTGCAGGTTTCGAGAGCTTTAGTCTCTGTCTGTAAGCAGGAACCAGATGTATCATGGAGTGATCTGAGAAGCCGAGGGCTGGCTTGGGAACAGCGCGAAAAGCTCCGCGCACGGTGGTGTAACAGTGATCCAGAGTGTTCTCCTCTCTGGTCGGGCATTTGATAAACTGTCTGTATTTGGGTAATTCCTGGCTCAAGTTTCCCTTATTAAAATCCCCCAGGATAATAATCAGAGAGTCCGGGTATAAGCGTTCCATACACAGTACTTGCTCTGCGTCCGCGCATGGCGGTATGTAAACAGAGGCAAGAATGAATGAAACAATTTCCCGCGGGGAGTAATATGGTTTACAATGAATGAAAAGATATTCCAGAGCAGGAGAGCAGTGCTTGGAGATCACTGTCACATCGTTACACCAGTTTGTATTGACGTAGAAACAGAGCCCTCCGCCTCTGCTCTTCCCTGAGAGCGCACAATGGCGATCCGCGCGAAACAGCCCAAAGCCCTGCAGCTCCAGAGCGCAGTCCGGGATCCGCTCATTTAGCCAGGTCTCAGTGAAGCAGAGGACACAGGATGTGGCGAAGTCCTTGTTTCTTCTCATGAGCAGGCTGAGTTCGTCCATCTTATTGCCCATTGAGCGTACGTTGGAGAGAAAAATGCCGGGGAGAGCCGTGCGCGCTCCTCTCCTCCTAAGACGCACGAGCAGGCCTCCTCGCTTTCCCCTTTTACGGGCCCACACTTTTTTGGCTAGAACATGAACTAAATCAGCCGCAGATGCCAAGAAAACAGGCAATAGGTCCATGGGAACGGTGGGTCGGATGTTCATAAGTTCCTCACGGGTGTAGGAACAGCCAGATGCACAGTTAAAAAGTAAAAAAAAAAAAAAAAGAGAGCAGCAAAGAGCCATGTCGACCGTACGAGGCGCCATCTTGTTCTGCACACAATGTTCTCATAGACTACAGTCATAAGAAATGTTGATGTAGAAACAGAAATCACATGTGGAATTAATGCTGTACGTGCACACCAGGAAATGGGCATTTGGTTTGTATGAATGAGCAATAATGTGACTAATACAGAGTATGAAGCTGACAGGACGAACGTGTGTTTAAAACACAAGAGCAGAAAGAGGTCGTCACTGAAAGACGACAGCAGACGGTCAAACATATTGTGTTACATTGTGTTTGTAGAGTGG